GAATCTACTAACTTGAGTTTGATAAGAAAGTTGAACATAAAAGCAAAAAATGAGATGACTCCACCGGAGCAAAAACCGACATGACTCAACTGGAGCCGAAAACTAGATGACTCTCCACTGGAGTCGAAAACGAGATGACTCCACCGGAGTCGAAAACGAGATGACTCTACCGAAGTAAAAAACGAGATGACACTCCACCGGAGTCGAAAACGACATGACTTCACCGGAGCCGAAAACGACATGACTCTCCACCCGAGCAAAATATAACATGACTCCACCGGAGCAAAAAACGAGATGACTCCATCGTAGCCGAAAACGACATGACTCCACCGGAGCCGAAAACGACATGACTCCACCGAAGCCGAAAACGAGATGACTCTCCACCAGAGCCGAAAACGAGATGACTCCACCGGAGCAAAAAACGAGATGACTTTACCGGAGCCGAAAACGATGGCTCTCCACCAGAGTCGAAAACGAGATGAGTCCATCGAAGTCGAAAACGACATGACTCCATCGGATCCGAAAACGAGATAACTCCACTGGAGCCTAAAACGACAAGAACGCAGCAGACGGATCACAGAATCGCAGACAGATGCGTAGACAAAATCAGGACTCAAGACAAAATCAGAAAAAGAAAAAGAAAGGGCTAGAAACTATAGAAAAAATTTCAAAATTGGGAGACCTACGGGTACATCCCAGGTTGAATGTACCCGGAGAAACGCGGGTTGGTAGGCTATATCTGCGACAGGAGAAAAATAAGCTCTGATACCATGTTAGAAATTTTAGGGGGAAAATAATGAGATTGTCTTATTGATCATCAAAATAAGGGGCTCAGACTCGATAAATTCAAATCTAAATAATTTAATCTATGAATTAGATCAAATCTAAATATAAATGTACTAAACCTAAAAGTGAATATTTAAAATATCTCAACAAATTATTTTAATAATATATTTTTTAATTACTTATTAATTATAATCTTCTTAAATTAGTGTATCTATAGTGACCTTTGACACTTAATCGGAGGAGAGAGGGAGTTTAAGGATAATTCAAGTTCTATCTACAAAGGAGCTCTAATATATATTTCCTCTGTCCCCGAGAAAGTGTCTTGTTTACTATATGATACAAGAATTAGGAAGATTATAATTATTAAATAATTTAAAAAATATATTAGTAAAAATAATTATAAATTAAGATTAATATAGATAAATAAATTTAAGAAAATGAGGCGGATCCGGCACCATGCTGATAAATTCTGGACCGTTTATCATAGTAGATAAAAATTGGATAACTTAGATTGAAGAGGGGTAATATCATCCTTTTGAATTTATAAGTTACTGAATTAATTATGTAAATCTGTAGAGTCTCCATATATTGATGTTGAATTATGTCAAATAATATTTTGAATGTATCATTATAAAATGCTTTTCCATAAATAGTAAAATATTGAGTTCTTTAATCTCATTAAATATGATGTTGTATAACATAATATAAGATGTTTCCCTATGCATAGGTAAATATTGAAGTTAACTGAACGAGATGCTAATTTATTTTATTTAATAGTAATTTTGATGTTCTAATTTAAATCTGATTGCTAATACAGTTTTATAATATTCTTAACACACCAAACGTGATTTTAATAGTTTCTTTAATATCTAAATCTTGAAAAGCTATGAAAACAATTAAATTAACACAAATATATAAATAATTATCCAAATTTGACTAAAGATGTCATAATTCAATCCAATAAATTGAATCATGTACATTAATTCAATAAATGACATAAGGTCATAAAGCATTTTTGTATATTGTTATTATAAAATATTTTTCTCATAAATAATAAGATATTGAGTTTTGTATTTAAATTTTTTAATTATTTTCAATCATATATATTTTTCTCATAAATAATAAGATATTGAGTTTTGTATTTAAATTTTTTAATTATTTTCAATCATATTGGAAGATTCTGAGGTTTTTTTTTTTTTTTTTTTTTTTTTTTTTTTTCTAATGTATGCTGCATTGAAACAGGAAACTGCATGTCGAAAGATTCTTAGTTCTTTTCTAATTAATGCTACATTGAATGAGGAAGGAGAATGTAGAATTAAGGTAATTAATAAATTAGGAGAATTTAAAAATTACTATTAAACTCCTAAATTAATATAAGTTATTGAATTAAAAATTGTTATTCAATTACTGATATTCAATCAACATAATGCTCAATTTTATTTTCAGTATATAATCTAAGCCCTTAATAAAATGTATAATCATTTTCTAAAATATGAGAAGAACAAATTATATGGACCGACCGAAATAAAAATAATGGATATTTTATGTGGAATTGAGGGAGTATCATATGAGTAACATCGCTTTGGTTAACGTGTTGATTGGGTCAAATCGGCACCATACTGATTTGACTCAAACATATGTTTATAAAGAAAGTAGTACATATCCGAGACATTAGAGACGGATTTACATGGGGGCTATGAGCCCCAAAATATATGTATTTTTTTAATGTAAAAATAATAAAATTATGTATATTTTATAAAATATAATACAATATATAACATATACAACAAATGGTAATACAATGTGTCGTCTACCATATTATATAATTTCATATAATATAATATACTATGATATTAGCAAACTAAACAGATTATACAATATAGTACAATATATAATCTACACAATACATACCTTTATGTACATAACATATGCTATATCTTATGTTGAAATATTAATGAAACTTAGTGTATTAACTTGGTCAAATCAATATCATAATTGTTGTCATAAATTAATATTAATGACAACGATCTATCCTTGCAATAACAATTTCTACTTTCTAATCGACAAATCGTAGTATGATAAGTAAGAACGTCTCCATAGAGATCGGTTGATTTATTTCTTTTATTCAGTATGATCAAATTAAGAGGAGAGTTTATGAATTTTACTTTTAGTTCTAGCTAAAATAAACTCAAAAGCTTAAAGAAATCAAGAAAATTAAATAAAAATGCTTAGCCCAATGATTAATTTCAGAAGTGAACCTCGGGGTTGATCATCGATCCCATATTTTATTATATTGAATCTTTTGATAAATTGGTTGTAGAAGCCGATGTGTGCCGAGCTTCTAGCTTTTCCTTACATAATCATTAATTAATGTAGAACTATTAATTAATTTCTTAATTGAAGAAAGAAATCCGGGTACGCCCACAAATTTGAGTTTCCCAATCGCATGAAACCATATGAAAGCCTATGATTATTGCAATCATATCATAAATTCCAAAGATAGTTCATAAGCATCTTATTGTCACTAAATCAAATAATCGCACAATTACAGATGCAATTACTCAATTTACTATGAATTATTAACTCAACCTAAATATTTGACCACAATACTAGGTTAAGAAAATAACATTAGGCATGCTACACAGAAATTTTACAAATACCAAAGAAGTCAATGGAAATTATAAATTGAAGAATCGATCTCACAAAACGTGAAGTTCAAATCGTCAATCGATCATTGACTAGATATGAAATTTAGCTACTCATAAAGAAAAACAAAAGAGCAACGAAAAGGGGAAAGAAAAACATCTGGGCGAGTTTTTTTTTTTTTTTTTTTTTTTTTTTTTTTTTCGGGATGTTGTCGATTCGTCGTTTTGCTCCAAGAATTCGATCTCACGACGCTGCCTCCAGAATTTGCTCTCGCGTCTCTCTGCCTCACGTCCAGATCTGATTTAGGGTTGCCTTGCACCTCCTCTTTTTTTTTTTAGACGTTTAGATCTCTTCTTGAATCGGCCCGGCCCCTATTTTTTTTGTTTTGCTTTAGCGGTTGTGAAAGTTAGATTGGATGGATAACTTTTCCACATGTTTTGGGTTTCCATGGTACGGTAGATTTGACTGGGGATATCTTAAGGGTATTTTGGCTTTTTCCAAGCTAAGATGGTTCAATCCGATTCAAATTTCCAATTTTTTAACCAAAACTCCAAACAGTCAGTATGCACCTAGTCATGGACATGACTAAGGAACGTATTTTGCTCTATTTTATATTTTGCCTTCCGTTATGTTCACTTTGAATATAATATAAAATAGTATAAAAATCAGTATAAATATATTCAAAGCATCAATAACTACGTATCAAAAGTGCATGCAAAATACTTCCTTTGTCCCATTTCACTGGAGCCTTTTGAAATTTTATAGTAAATTAAGAAATAATAGTATTTTATTAGTTAGTGGAAGTGTGTAAGAGTTTTTTTGACATTGTTGCCCTTTGGCTTTATGCACAAAATAATTGTATGTGTAATGATATGTTTGTAATCTACGTAAAAGTTAAGAGTATTTTTGTATTATAATTATTTTTTTTAAAAAATATAAAAGAAATATTTTGAAGTGAGACAAACGAAATACAAGTTGAATTAGAAAGAAGAGAGCGTAAACTATCAATTAATTAAATAAATTTCATTCAACCAACTTTGAACTTCAAACTCAGTATATATATGATCCGAGCCAGCTGTTCTAAACTTTAGATTAAGGCCAAAACCCTAAGATTCGAAGAAGATGAAGAAAATGATTGTTAATCTCTCTCACACACACACACATATATATATCTAATAATATATATCGACGTTGAGGCCAATGTAATTACAATGTTGCTTTTTGTACTCACTACTTAGATACGTTACATATACATTATAATTTATATACATATATAAATATTTAAATTTTGTTGTTGATGAAGATCATCATATATCTCTCTCTATGTATATATATTATATATATATATAGAGGTCTTGATCATGGGTAGAGTCCAAGTGCAAACATACACTGGAAAAGCTTTGTTGATATCTTCGTTACATTGCTCAGCTAATTAGCCCCACTCCAAATGCATATGCCCATCACTATCCCCACCCCACCCCCCCAATATATATATATATATATATTAATTATATATATGTTTTTAATTTTGACATGGAAATTAAATGTTACAACCTTCTTTGAAAAAAAAAAAAAACCACACCAACAATTTTCTAGGGTTTCGATCGATCATGCGGAATGCCGTCGACAACGACGAAGACGACGACGGTTCTTGGGAGGTCCGGGCCTTCCGGGAAGATGCCGCCGGAAACCTAATGGGTGGCTGCACGTGGCCTCCCCGCTCCTACACGTGCAACTTCTGCCGGAGAGAATTCCGGTCGGCTCAAGCCCTCGGCGGCCACATGAATGTCCATCGCCGGGATCGGGCTAGACTGCACCACGCCGCCGCGCCGGAGCCGCGCCCCCTCCTTCTCCGGCCGCCGGCTTCCGCCGCCAATAGCCTCTGCCTCCGCCTCTACCCCATCCCCGACCGGAGGAGCAGCGCCGCCATGTTAACACCTAATCCGTCGCCGGAATTCCCTAAAACAATAAAAACTCCGGCCGCGGCCGATCCCTCCGCCGTGAACAGCCGCGATAATAATAATAATGCTGATAATTCCGCCGCCATGGAAGAGCTGGATCTGGAGCTCCGCCTCGGCCGGCCGCCACCGCCACCGCCGCCGGAAAACTGAAATTTACCTGACCTGTAGAATTCGATAATCTTCAAATCCTTTTATCTGTATACATACACATAAATTGTTTCCTGCTGATTTTCTCCATTTTCGTTTTTTTTTTTTTTGGGCACTGTTCGATTGATTCATTGCAGTGAAAGAAGGAATAAAATTAGGGTTTGGTAAATATTGTTAAATGGGTAAAAAAAGAAATAGTTTTTTTTTTTAAAAAAAGGTTGAAGATGGAATAATGGGAATGAATTGAAAGATGAAGATTTAAAGGGAGATTGGGATTGAGATTGGGAGCAGTGTATGATGATGATGACGATAAATTTTGCAGTGCAGTGTCATTTTCGGACATTGATTTCTGACCATATATATATATACACTGAGTGTGTTTGTTATAGGAATTTTGCAAAAAAAATTAACTATTCATTAAAAATTTTTTTATTAAAAACATCACATTAAATATTTATTTTTTATTTTCTATTTAATTTTACATTCAAAATATTATATCATCATCTATTTATATCACATCATACAACTATTGCAATTCAAAATTTTTACTTTTCAAATAATTCAAAATCAAAACCTTCAAACAAACACACCCATTTTGTATATATGTGTGTGCGTGTCTGGACGTGTTTTGCCGTAGGGGTTTTATTCATTCAGTGATAACAGATATAGATATATATATATATATATATTAATTAATTTATTTATTTATGAGAAGACATTTAAAGTTTTTGGTTTTTTCCTGTCACTGAATCGCAATAAATATGATGGCCAGTAATCGATATATGGTACCCAATGGTGTAGGGAATGCTATATATATATATATATATACATATATACTACCTCCATCTATCATTTTTTTTTTTTTTTTGGTATTCATTTTTAAATATTAATTATTATATCGATACGTAGTATAAATCAAAAGAAAAAATAAAGTATTTTTATTAGTCTCTTGTAATACAAATACAATGATATTTGTGAAGTAAATTATACAAATAAAAAATATTTTTAATGTTAAGTATAATGACGCAAATATTTTTTTTTTCTTTTAAATAATCATATCGGTAATATAAAAATAATACTTGAATTGAATTATTAACTTTTTTAAAAGAATAGAATATTAATTATATATATATATATTAGAAATCAGTGTAAAAGAAAAAATGATTGAAGTAAACAAATCTGACAAATTTTATTTTGTATGTAGATCAAACTATCATTTTTAGTACTTTTTTTTATTATTACAATTTAGGACAATATATCCACATATATCTTATTTTTGTCCTCAAGTGTCGGAAAGACGCAAGTGAGAGTCACGGACGCCTACATGGAAATGCTGCTGCATATGTGGACGATGTCAGAGTTGAGCTAGCATAGGGGTGGAAATAGGCCATATCAGGTCAAGCTTTGGCTAAATAGGCCAGGTTTTTTTTATAAAACTAAAGCCTGTGGCCTATTAGTCTATTAAAATATATATCTAAGGCCTAGGTCTGGCTTACTTTAAAGTTTGGTCTGGTCTACGAGCCTATTTAAAAGTCTATATAATATTTTTTTATTTTTTATTTTTCAAACTTGATATTTGTAGAAAAATATATACAATTATTTATTATATATAATAAATCAGTTAAAATAAATTATTTTTTTTAGTTTTTATTGTCACCAAATATAATTTTTTATAAATTATAAACAATTAAAAACATAATTTATATATTAGATAAAAAAGAATATACTATATAAATATATAAACAGGCCGGCCTGATAGACCAAAAAGACTTTTCGTAAAGCCTAAGTCTATTTTATTTATTTAAAAAGGCTTAGAAATATATCTGAATTTAGCCTTGTTAGTAAACAAGCCAAACCAAACAAGGCCTTAAGGACAAACTATAGGCCCCTGACAGGCCGCCTGACTTATTTCCATCCCTATAGCACATGACGTAGTTCATCGGCATCAATGATGTGAAAATTCAAATTTAAAATGCAGTTACAAGCTAAGCTAATGCGAGAATTATAATTTTCATCAATCATCATTTAGACAATATCTTCTTATTTGAATATTTAATGGTCAAAGATCTATTCAATTTGCGGAATGATTTGGAGGTATTTGGACATTTAAAACATATCACTCTCCTGAGAATCTTGTCATCATTGATCTAACTTGTATTTTCAAATTTTCAAAACTATTATCTAATATAACTTTATCATTCACCAAATTACATCTCAATTGAAACTCCCTGAAAAAAATGTAACAGACAATGATTTGTTGAAATTTTTTTTTTTTTTTTTATCTTTTATGCATTTAATGTTGTATTACACCATAGGGGTATTGTGAGAATTTTTTTTTTAAATACAAGTCATTGCATATTTTTTATTAACGGAGCAAAATAATAAAAATTATTGATAAAAAATCATTAGTCTCAGTCCATTGGTTTAAATATGTCATGTGAAGCGAACGTAATATTTTTTTTAACACGACCGAACATGTGGTAGAGACCATGAAAATAATCGCTGTCGTCGGAGTAATCACTCACGCATTACTCATAAACATTGAAATTTTAACTCTGACAAAAAGCAAAGTAAACCCCAATGCATATATTGTCAAAAAGGAAAAAAATAAAATAAAAAATGAACATTTGTATAGATGTAAGCATGAAATAATATCATGAGTCTTCAATGTGTTTGTTTGGGCAATGTGATTTGTTTTACACTATTTACAAATCTTCTAAAAAAATATTAAATCAAATATATATATTTTTATATTATACTAAAATTAATTTTATATTTAAAATATCACATTAATTTTTATTTATATTACATTAAATAATTATTTAAATTTAAAATTTTACTATTCAAATTAAAACTTCAAATCAAATCATGCAAACAAACACATGTTAATATTTAGCGGAATCACTTGATCGGTTAATATTTCGGCTAGAATAATTGTTTATGATAGACAAATTGTAAATGCTAATGAATCAACTATACACTTAAAATATGGTAGACTGTGTGTTTCTAAAAAAAAAAAATATCATGAAAAGAAAAAAATAATAATAAAATAGATGATGATAATCAAGAACAATTCAAAATTGACGTTGATAAACATCAATATAACGAGAAACTCAACTCTAAAATAATTACTGTAGAAAAATATGATCTTGAATAACATGATGATAATGTTATTAAAAATTCAATCAATTATATTATTTCAAAAAAAAATTAGAACCTTAAGAAGAAAGAATGATCGATTATTGAATATTGATTAAAAACTGACTAACCAAAATAAAAAGATACACTTCAACAAGAGGTTGATTCATTGAACAAAATAAAAGTCCTGTACTAAATATTATTTTTATAAAGATCTTACTAAAAACTCAAATTAACATAATATCATAAAATCAATGATAGTATGTCAAAGTATTGTATATATCTTTGTACTCCCTTCGTCCCAAATAAGGTGTTACATTTAAGTTGGATACGAGATTTTATGTGAGAAGTATTAAGTAGGATAATTGAGTAATTAGGTGATGTTATGGAGAGAGAAATATATATTTTATTTTTTTTTATTAGGGTGATGTGATGAGATAAAGTGTGGGGATATAGATTAAGTATAAATAATTATTTTTTAATTTAAAAATATTGTAGAGTGTTTGAAATATACAGTGTTTGGGACGGAGGGAGTACTATTAATTTATACTTCTTGTCTTGTATGTTTGTCGTAGCAATAATAAGTAAAATAATTAAGAAAGAATATATATTCATATTAACAAAAAATCATGTTCAAAGAAACTAATAATTAATTAAAATTTGATAACAAAATTATTATGTGTTTGTTTGGGGATTCTCCCCCAAATACACTATTCGTCCCATTTTTTTTTCCCAAAAAATATCAAATCAAATACTTATTTTTTATTTTTTTTATTATACTAAAAATCAATTTTACATTCAAAACATCACATCAACACCTATTTATATTACATCATACAATTATTCAAATTCAAAATTATTACTATTCAAATTCCAATTCAAAATCCAAACCCCCAAATAAAATAGAATATGTTCACTTTCAAAATTGACTACTTTTATTGTTTTAAATAAAAACATATTATTCCAATATCATGAAACATACTATAATAAAAATCAAAACAAACTGTTATTCAAGTTTTGACCCATTCCTTCTCCAGCCCGGTTCTAAGAGTCACATTTACATTGTTGCGTCATTGTACTTAACATTAAAAATATCCTTATATTTGTATAATTTTTTGTACAAATATTCTTTTATTAGTATTATAAGATAATAATTGAAATATTTTTGTAATTTTTTCTTAATTTGTACTACATTTTGATATAATAATTAATATTCAAAAATCAACATACAAAAAGTAAATGAGATCCTTAGAGTCGGATAAAAGTAATATTATTTTAGAATTTTAAATAAAATTGTTGATGATGTGGCTCGTGAGGCTGATTTGGTACTAATATGTCTTATTCGTCAGCACCATAGTTTACCTTACAAAAAATAATACTCCCTCACGTACTATTTGAAATGGGTCTTTTGAAATTTGTAATAAATTAAAAAAATAATAATATTTTATAGATTAATTGTACAACATATTTTGATATTTTTGTAATTTTAACTTTATATAAAAAATAATTGTACATGTAATGATATATTTTTAATTTAAATATTTAAATAAAAATTAAAGATATTTTGATATTAATGTATGATTACTTTTACTAAAAAGAAAGTGATATTTTGAGAGTTGCGGACAAAAATAATAAAAAAAAATAGTACTTCGAACTAAGACCGAAAAATACTATTTTTAAAAACTTTTACCATTCATTTTAGGGGCACTTGGATTTAAATATCTATTAGTTAAAAAATATTTAAATTCAGTCCCTCTCCATTTTGAAAAAGCACTGCACTCCCTACTTTTCATTTCACTTTACACTTGACTCTCTAGTATCCATTTTATCCCTGAATCACCATATAATGTAACGAATGTTGTATGAACTCTCATTATTTTTATACATACCTACATTATCTAATTACGTATTCCAAAATTATTCCCCTGTACAAAGAAAATGTTAGAGTAATGTGCCTCGAATTTCTATTTATGTACTAAAATTAGTTACAGTAATTTAAGCCTAAAAATAAAATAAAACCCTAATAAAATTCACCATCCGACTCTGTGGATGAATTATTCTTCCAAACTCTTCCCCTTCCACGTTGCCCTCGTCGTCGAAGCCACCTAGCGAACTAATTGCCGCCGAGCCTTCCTACAGAAACCTCCGTTGCCGTTGGAAGTCTTCCCTCACCGCCAAGAGATTAGATCCCAGTCGAGACGTCGAAAAAGACTTCATTCCCAAGGCGGAGTTCGAAAAAGTAAGTTAAGTTTCTGGTAGAATCGATTGTTTGAGTTTATAATGTACTTTGATCTATTTTATTTGTGACTCGGTTGGGTTTGTACAAGCCTCGATGACGGATAATTTTACTTTGACAGTTTGAAACAACGTTATAGCCATTGATGAATTTTTCATACTGTATACTTTATTTGTTTTTGTCAACATTTTGTTTACAACCATAAACTATCGGGTTCAAATATTTTTATTATGATATTTTGATGACTTGAAGTCGTTGGGTGACTATACATGGGAAACTACATACCATCGGTACCTACTGAAATTTATGCGGGACTTCAAATTTGGGAAGATTTACTTGATTGGATGCACCATGAGTTTGTTAGTACGCATTTAATTTATGTATTTAGGTAAGAAAAAATTGAGATAATATATGCTTATTGAAATCATTGGTTCTCTTCATTGCATGCCTGGATTAGCGAGCGTACTCCGGCACTCGACAAAGCAAGAGGACTACCTACAGTGCCCCGTTGCTTTAGATGGTTTCGTAGTAGGCTTGTATGCATATATGCTGAGAGCTACACTGTAGAAGATATAGATTGTTACCCACTAGGCGGCTGGATAACCGAATTCGATGATGTCAAGGCTTATAGGGCAAAAATTACTACAAGAAATTTTAGCAGGGCACCTCAGAGAGTCTGTTTAGTTCAATTTGAATGATTAAAGTCTAATTTATTACAATTGGATTGATAAATAACTAAGATTTGTAGCCAAATAGGGGTACTTATCCATTTATGTTATATTTTGATGTTTACTTTACTGATCACCGACTATTTTAAACTAACATATAATGTTTTAAGAGGTTGTCTATATGTAATTGCATTCTGGTCATGTATATGTTTGTATACATGATATGTTGGCAAGATATCATGATTGAGTGTCAACAAGCCCTAGGTCGAGACCACATACTCCAAATGATAATATTTATAATTTTATTTCACTAATTTATATACATTTGTATGTAATTTAGACACTCTTGAACTGAAATAAATAATTGTTCCGACGGAACCTTCTCTGCTACCGTAGATTGGCCGTAGATAGACGCCCCGAAGAAGAAAAAACCAAATATAAATGGAACTTTTCAAAAAAAAAAGAAGGGCTTTCGGTTTTTTTCACGGGTCAAAAACGCGCTGGTGAAGAGCTCAATTCCGTCGACCCTGCCTACTCGTCCATTTCCCTTCGATGGCAGATCCCGTGGAAGTGCATTTCCGAGCACCTCATAGTATTTTCGGGGCGTCTGAAGATTTGGAGGCATCGAATAGCGAAGAGAGGCGGCTCGGTAGGGAAGAAGGAATGGGTGATCTGAAACTTAGCACTTCTGTTCTTATTGATTCCAAGGGCGGCGGAACACAGCGAGATGGGGTCATCGTATTAAGCCTGGGACTTACGCGGAAAGATTATGGTTCTCGGGTATCCAATCAATTAATCCAAGGGTGATCTAGGATTTGCTATTTCCTCTAAAGCTAGAACAGCGGAGATGTCACGTGCATAAATGTACTAGAATAGAACGCGTACCCGTAGAAATAAATAATATACTTTGGTTAGTAAAATTCCATAATTAGGTATCGACAAACCCCTAGGCCGAGACCACGTACCCTCAATGATGATATTTGTACTTTTATTTCACTAATTTATATACCTCTTAACTAATTGAAACCATTTGTATAAGGAATATGATATCTAAGTAACTTTAAACGTAATCGATGTATATTGAGAGATGTGTACTCACTAAATTATTCTGAAAGCACAAGTGGACCGGTAACATATACACATCAATGACTAATATGTTCCCTACAATGTGGGAAAATTCAATACGTCTCACAACTAATACTTGATATCCCTTCTACCTCATTTACTATTGTTGGATTTACATCTCACTTTCAGAAATTTTTGGGCAAACAATCACAATACAAAGAACATGTTAGATCATCGGTTATGCACTAACTTTCATATATCTATTACTTTTGGTCACCTCAATATATTTATTTTATATCTATCGTAATTGATATTCTCATCCACTGTTGAATGTATTGATAGGTTCTTTCATATGTCATCTCGGGAGTACCCCCTATTACACACTCTCTGTCTGGAAAGTGGGTATAATGTTATCAACTCGTAGTTGTTTGATCCAGCAAAAATATTGACAAATTCTGCTCATATTACTTAAATACCCATGTTAACATTAATAATACTTGCTCACAATTATAAATACTTTCATACACAAAGACGCACCCTCTTACTCGGATATGTATACACCTGATATTAAAAAATATACTCCATGAACGTCACAATATACTCGTATTTTCATTGCAGCAACTCCTTCAACAATATTAAATACCTCCATAAATAAATTTAATATATATTAATATAATTTCAGATAAATGATAGGGGTACACTATGAGCCATGTTATACGTAGCGAGTACTTATGGGACGTAAAGGACCTAAAGTATTATGTAGAATTTAATAAGCAAATTCTCGTGTAATATATTGTCGTCGTTAATAACTATTACTCCTGATCATATTTAATATAATTACAATAACATTTAACGTACTTTCGTTATGAATTCATATACCCTTATTTTATACTTTGGAAGAATTATTTTGGACTAATTTATACCCCGCAAAATAGTTATGTAGGTCCAGTAATACACAGGGGAATATCATCGAATTTTCAAATCATTCAATAGTGGTCCCATACATAAATTACGTTCAATGTACAATCTTGCATAAAATAAATAAATAAATAAATAAATCCAACCATAAGAAACACGCAAGAAATACCTACGATAAAATCTCCTTGCAATTTCTTTGGTTGTGTCATGACGACCAAAACGATCATATTTTTTAATATGGTTCACCTGCTATGATTCAAATTGTGTTTTGCTTTGGTTAGTCTAGTTAGAAAAATGATGTGTGAGAAATTATCTTTGTCTGCAGGTTGTTACGCCACATCCATATCATTGGTCGGCACTGGGTTAATGGATTCATCATAAACATCACATGTTGCCGAATAGAATCAAACATCCAACAAAATGTAATGACCTTGCTGAGCGCACCTAACTATTCAACGACTCAGCTATATTGTTATTTATTATCCTCTAACAAGTCTCTTAGAGTAGATAATTCGTCTGACACTAGCTCTGTAATTATTCAATGAAGTTTCGGGCAAGTGACATGACCTCCACAACATACGTTATATACTGCTTAAAATCCTTCTACAGAGGGACATAACCGGCTTTGTTGAAAATAGACGTCCATTATTTCTTGTTGTGCATCAGATATCTCTGTACCACTTATATGAAATATAATTACCTTATTGTGCATATCATAATAAATAAACATATATTTTATACATAACTAAGTGCGAAAGTTGTTCATTAGGTGTCAGAGACAATATGTGTGGTGGGCTCCGAAAAATACAGCAGGAATGAACTTTAGAAGTTTCGAGTGTCTATCCAAATAAATATGTATTCTTTTCAATTATCGGCCATCAATGTGAATAACAAACCTTAACCTTCAGGAAAATCATTTTCAATCATTTTCGACAGACACTGCTGCATAGCTACAAGATATTAACATTATCTAATACAAGCATATAAAATAAACACCAAGGTTCATAATGAGTAATCGTAATATATGCCAACAATACTAAGGTACTTTTAAACAAATGCATCATACGATATAAAAAACCATAGGTATAAGATTAATAAATATATGTATATTACACTGTAAAAATATATCCGTGAAAATACCCACGCATACTAACAGGAGATTGCAACAACTCCTACAAATATTTTTTCCAATACATATCCTCTTAACAAAATGTCATACATAATTAAAAACCACTGCAATCATAATCGCAAACAAGACAACAATCACCGAAGCAATAGTGAAATACTTACCGAAATCAATCGTGAATCCTAACAGCACTATTGCAATCAACCAACAATATCATTACCCCAAAAGAACATCACAAGCTGAGGAATTGAACATCCACCTTACCCGTTTCTCCCTTGTGCGAAATAAACCTAAACTTTAGAATTTGGATTCGGAATCCCTCACAGATTCACCATCGATCGTAGACTCCTCCCCGCGAACGAAACCGAACGATATAGACATTTTTTTCCTTCACGTGAATGAAACAAAAGGCTGGATACAATCTCTTTCACTTGCGCAAAAAAAAAAAGCCTAAGAAATAGAGAGAAAACTGAAATTGATAAAAATGGATTGGGGTGAGATGAAGGTAAAATTGAAAATAAAAATTAGATGGGAAGTTAATTGTAAGAAATTTTTAAAAAGGAAAGTGCAAACTCCATTAATATTGTATTGTACAGGGACTGAATACAAATATAAAAATAGAGGTGGGTATTTACTGAATACAAATATAAAAATAGAGGTGAGTATTTTATTGCAATTGTCCGTTCATTTTAATAATTCTCAATAAAAGATGACAAAACTTCCAAAATTACTAAATACTAAATCAATATCAACACTATTAAACACAATTTTAAATAAAAATATACTAATGTTTTATTTTATAAAATATCAAATCAAAATATTATTTAAATAAAGAATCAAATTCAAACCAAAACTAAACAAACTCAAATGAACATAACCATAATGTTTTTTAAAAGTGATGATAAAAATACACTATTAATATACTGAAAATTATTATACTCCCTCCGTCCCAATACAATAGTACTGTTTACCATTTTTGTCCGTCTCAAAACAATAGTTTCATTTCCATAAATAAACATATTGCTATAAAACTATCCTTACTTTTTCATTACTATTACACAATTGTCACTACTTTTTACACTAATACATTCACAAGGGCAAAAAAGTCTTTTACCCTTATTTTTTACCCACTACCAATATAATATCAATATTCTTTAAATCCCGTGTCAAACCCAACCCAAACTATAATTTTGGGATGGAGAAAGTATATAGCAATCAATAATAAAGTACAAAAAAAAAAGAAAAAAAAGAAGAATATAATTGTATAGAACTCTTTAATTTCAATACTCTCCCTCCGTCTCATAAAAAGGGTTCCGTTTTTTATTTTTGTCCATCCCAAAATAAATGTATCATTTTCTAATTTAGTAATTGTACTAAATTACACAAATGCCACAACTTTTCAATTTACAATATATTACACAAATGTCACCACATTTATATTACACAATACTAATAAAAATATTTTTATCTTTGTTCCTACAACCTAATATAATACTAATATTAAAAAATCTACGCACCAAGAACAATTGTTGCAGAGGGAGCACGTATATTTAGTAAATATAAAGAACTGTACATAAATTAACTCAGACAAATTATTGAATAAAATAAAAAAACATATGTACACTTTATTATTCATTAAATATATAATAACATTATTATTCTTCATTTAACATACTCCCATAATAATACCAATTTATAAAAAAATAATACAATAATACAAACTCCAGCTCCGCTCGCATAATAAACAATAAAAAAAAAAATAGATAACTCTAAAAAATTAATAATCTTGCATAAGGTGAATATATTTTTATTCACATGTATTAATGTTTAAAACTATTAATGTTCATTTACATATACACTTTTGAAAATTCAGGCGTTATTCATCTTTAAAAAATTAAAAAATCACATGGATGCATATTTTCATTCACTACATTATATTCCTTAACATTGAAAATATTTTAAGAGATTAATGAGAGTATTTTCAATATAATAGTTAATATTCACGCACAAAATAAATAAAAAATAAAACAACTCGAAACCTGGGAAATCTTCTCCAATAATATCTCAATACATGCAAAATATATGATCATCATCATAGAGATAATCTCTCCTACATTACCCCAATTATATCATTACCATTTTAAAAATCAAAATCAAAATCCTAATCCCGGGCCACAGGTAAAAATGTGGTGAATAACTGAATGGATGAATAAAAGGGGAAGTCGATGAGAAAAAGGACCTGAATTACCCCAAATGGGGAGTCGAACGTAGTCGAGGATGAGGAAAATGTTGCATTAATATCGCACCATATCCTGAAGGCATTCGTAGAAGTGAGAAGTACTGATCTTTTCTTTGCCAGAATATATGGCTTCGGCGCTTCCACCGTGTTCACCCTGGGCCGCCATTTCGATTACCATGTATATCTTCTTAAGGGGCATCTGAAGAATTACACAATTAAGACACATCAAAATAAAATAAAATATAATATTCTCTCCGTCCGCCTCTAAGGGTCATATTTACCATTTTACTTTTACATCATTGTATTAACATTAAAAATATCCTTATATTTGTATCATTTTTTGTAGAAATATCCTTCTATTAGTATTATAAGACACTAATTGAAGTATTTTTGCAATTTTTTCTTAATTTATACTATGTTTTGATATAATAATTAATATTCAAAGATCGACAAGTAAAAAGTAAACAAAATTCTTAGAACCGGACGGAGGTAATATAAGTTTATCTCATCTCACTTTTTACTTATTTTGGTTTTAAACATAGAATGAATTGATTGATGATGTAGACTTACATCATTCAGTGCCTCTGCAGCAGAATCAATATCGTCGCTTGAGAAAACGTTAAGTTGCTGCAACACCTGTGTGGAGGGCATAACCGGGAACACAAATCAGAAGTTAGAAAGATGTCTGTAGTCCCAAATTGCCATTTCCACGTCGTTTTGAATGTATAGAACTAAAATTATCATTTTCGTCATTTCAATATAATCCCGTCAGTTTAATGAATTTTTAAAATGATCCAATTCATTTTTCAGAAAGGATGAGAAGACTTGGAAGATTACCTTTTTGGCATCTTCTGTCTTGAGTGTTGGAACATGGTACGTGACCGAGAATGCATCTCGAATCCCGACCGAGTCCAAGAAATCAAATTCACTCGTGGTACCGATAACAAGAACTTTTTTCCCCTGAGATGATAAATAAGAATATGATAAAATCTGCTTTTTATTCTGAAAATAAGAGGAAACTTACAACAAATATATGGCAGTTTCGATCCATTTTCCTTTTGCTAGCAATAGATGTACATTTAATACTAATAGAAGGTTCATCTATAAAGAAAATAATAAAGTACAAACCCGATCCATTTATGCGTATGTGATTTTTGAGTTGGAACCAGAAACTTGGAACATAAAAAGTTAATGTGTTGTAGTATAACAAGAATCCCATGAATTTGTTTCATAATTTTCTCCTTTATGGATCATACAATTACAGAAAAACATTACGGAATCAACATTTAATTAAATCTAAACTAATGGTGAGTAGTGATATTTAAGAGTTACGTACTTTTGGCGGAAGCCGTTTCAGGAGCACCAACAATGTCTGAGAAATTAAATTTGAAAACCGAGGTCCAATAGGGACATACTCCAGGAGCCTGTGATGGCAGATATAGATTAGGCAGGATCGATCTTAAAAGAGAAATAATCAAATTTCATTTTTGATAAAAGATGAAACCTTTCAATGTCATCGAGGATGATTATGCTTAGTGGAGATTTGTAAGCATCTTCAAATACCTATCATCATAGACACCACTTTCTTCAAATCTTATGCATATAAAAGAAACCTACTGAGATCGTAAGTATTTTCACAGATAAACAACACAAGCTTGTCATAGACTACAAAATGCAACCAAGAAATATGCAATACTGCATAAAGTTTTACTTACAGGTACTGATAATAGGATTCTAACTGTAAATCAATCAGTTTAAAAGTAGGTCACCGAATTGCACCTTTACGATATGAGCACATTTTGTGGGTTCACTGAGTCCAATCATTGTTTCAGCAGAGATCTAACAGTTAAACACCCCCCAAAAAATGAACATCGTTAGTCAAACAAAGATGGGAAATCGAAGATCATATATATGGGTATCATCACAATGAAAAGTATAATTACTTACAATTTTGACATAGGGGAAGTCACTTTCAATACCAACTGTTGAGGCCATGGCAGTCTTACCACTGTCCAAAAGACATAATCGATAAAGTAATAAATCCAAAACACAAATTAAGAGAAACAGTATAAATTACCTTCCACTTGATCCTTCCAGAAGGCAAGTTACTAGTGGGCTTCCATGACTAACTTTAACTTGTTCTGCTAGAAGCATGGTTCTACGATAAATATGATCATGTCGTGCTCCACAATCCATGATGCCATTAAGTCTGCAAGAAGAATTGATGGATTAGTTTTCTGGAAGAGAAACTTTCAACTACTACGAATGGATGATGGTTCACACTGAGATGTATATAATAAACAAGCAAGCCAGGGTAGGCAAGCATCGGAGCTGCCATCAGGGATCATCATGGCCATCTCATTATGTTAAAATACATCGGCATCAGACACAAATGTTGCAAAAATCCTAGCCATCGAACAAATTTTGGAGGGCATTGTCAATGCCCAATTTGGGCCTATCACCCGTCCATGTGGGGAGTGTGGCTCTAGAAATTTCATCAGCTGAATTCATGGGGCTCTACCCCTTGGAAGCTAAACCGATAGATTAATAAACTCCACATCTTATCTTGAGATGTCCCCCTCATTTTCTTTGAGGACATCCCCTGATCTTTTAGTCTGGCTTTGAATCTTATTTCGCATGATAATTCGTACCTGCTGCGTTCAAGGTCATCTGTAGAAGCTCCAAATGCAGGAATAACTTCTCGAAGGGCATTCAAAAAATCATCCATTGTAACTTTTATGCTCTCCTCATCCACTTGTTTGGTGAGATCATCCAAGCTGAGTTGCCTGTTCAGAGCATATGATACAGCACTTTTTACAACACCTTCAAGCTCTGCCCCGCTATAATTTTTGGTACGAGCGGCTGCATTTAAAAACAGAGTGATTAATTATAATTATGTAGGATATCCTAGATACATACAAATCAAAATCTTCACTTCCTAATTCAAACATGCAACATTTGATTCCTTTATATTTCAACAGAATGCACAAGATGAACACTGACACAGCAGGCTAATGATGTATCACCTGTACAACACATTGCAGTGAATACAATCGTCAAAATTACATAGATAAAAAACTGATGATTGCTCCCGTAAAAAGGGTTAGATGAATGTACAGCATCATATTTCTGCGTACTTACTTATTCACCTTCCTAAACAGCGTGCTTTTGTAATGTAATAATCTTCCAATGGAGAACAAGAAAGGCACAAATGACTAATCCATCAAAATAGTATACCAATGACTTTTAAACATCCAAATGCTAATCACAGATATATGGCATGCACGTGCATAATACTCTAAATCAGATAAAATGTAGGCATGATGATCTGGAATGTCACAAGTAATCAATACCACCAAAATCCAAATACAAGATGAAGGAAAAAAAAAAGGATAGCAGGTAATAGCATACCGATCTCTTCCAAGTTCACATCTGGAGCGATAAAAGAATTCTCTTTCATCTTGTTTGTATGAATCTGAAGAATTTGTAAACGACCCTTCTCGTCAGGAAGGCTGATCTCCACTTGGACTTCCAGGCGTCCAGGCCTGTAACGGGGAAAAAGGATTCACCATATTGAATAGCTCTATGCTCTAAAACTTGAAAATTGTCAGTTTTATCCATTTTGTCTGTGACTAGAATTTGGAAAGAGAGACTTATAACAGTAGATAACAGAATTGATGCCAGAAACTGAATTCACCTCAAAAGAGCTTCATCAAGCAAATCTTTCCTGTTAGTCATTCCGATGAGTAGGACATTGTTCAGTGATTCCACACCATCAATCTAAAGAGGGAAACCAGGGAATGGCATAAAATCATCTGGGAGGAGAAATTAATAAATAGAATTCCACCGCCAGATGGCAAACCACTACAACTAAATCTTATAATACCTTGGTGAGGAGTTGGTTCACAATACTATCATGAACACCAGTCCCATCCCTTGTTGAACCTCTAGACTGAAAAAATTAAAGCTTAAAGTTAGTGCAAGATGACAGAAAGTTATAAACTGAAAAATATAAGCTAGTGGCAGCCAATCACTGAATTATAAGTTTTCTAAACAGTATTAATCCCCTGATATCTAACTCATAGGAATTACAAGCACTGCGAATGCAGAAACTTCAAGGAAATTTTGCACCTAAACAAAGTAGCTTCATTCCATCCAAACATTAATGACTAGGAAAAAGAGGGGGGCATCTCCAGAAGAATGCAAAGTGAACATGCTTGGTCTTTTTGTTCTCAAAATATAAGTGATAAAGTACATTCAACCACCAATTGAAAAAAACAATAAAAATAACAGTGAATGTCACTGCTACGACCCTCAAAGCAGCAAATTTTAAGTGGAGTCATTCTCAGGGAACTCATAACAGAATTGAGCATTGATGAAAGAAATATTAACTTTAATACTTTGATGAATATCTAACCTTACAAATGGCATCAATTTCATCAAAAATGATGATGTGCAGATCACTTTGATCACCTGACAAGGATACTAACAATTAGCAACATGGGATGACAGATAAACTTCTATCGACAAAAAAGGCCACCTACCTTTAGTTTTTTGATCATACTCAGCATCCGCAAACAGGTCTCGCACATTTTTCTCAGTTTCACCAACAAATTTGCTCAACACTTCAGGTCCATTCACAATCTAAAATTCCAGGAAATTGATAAAAAGGAAAAAGATAAGCAGGGGAGAATAGCAACTTAGCATAATAGTAGAATGCAAATCTCAGCACAGCAATTCAAGCATTTCCATTCAGATAAAAACAAAAAGTGCAGTACAAGAGGGTCACTCTTCCCTGGTCAATCTGACAAATCAGCTAAGCAGGAATGGATCTTCATGGAACATATTATAAGTTAAAGATTTTAACAAAGAACCATGATCATCAAGGAACAGGTGATTTCTTCAGCTAATCATTCTACAAAAAATGTTACAAGGACTCTAAGTTATGGATCCTGTAAAAAGCAGCTATAAAATATTGAATATATCTTGAACTAGAGTAGAAAATCAAAAGGGTAAACCATGAGCTATATGGAATTAATAATGACATCAAGTATTCTAGTTAAAATCAAATAATTAAAATGAGCCAGAGGAGCATATTTTGAACAATTCCAGAAGGCTACAGATAAGGCGCGGAAACTTAAACACTCCGGAGTGTGAATAAAAAAGGTAAACATTTTTTGAGCAATTCAAAAGATCCAAATCAGATTCACATACTCAAGTTTGGAGCGCCTCATGTGAGAGATATGTTCATTTGCTTGAACAATGATGTGAAGAAGTAAATGAAACTAGGCTGAAAATACCAGTAACACATATCTGTCTCCTAACTTTAGACCAAAAGAAATCAAGAAAGAAAATTACAAATGTTAACCCTAACCATCGACATTTCTATTGGGAAAAAAAAAAATGTATTTTTAAGTTACTAGCTCCTCTGGTAATTAAATCTTGAATCATTTGGGCCAGAAACAGATGTTGGCTACGTGTATCAAAAAATAGAAAATAATTTCTTATTTACATCTCTTTCAAATGAAGATAAAACCAAAGACAACAACAGTAATATAAAAATTGATGTGAACATCATAAATGAACCGACGGAAATGTGCTGCCTCCATGACCAATTACTAGGAGTCAAGCCCGCAAGTTTCAGTTAGTTATTACAAAGTGGACCAAACTACACTTGAATCATGGAATTATTGTCGGCGTGGAAATTTACCAACAACGATTTTTAAAAAAAAATTAAAATAATTCCTTTTACTTGTGTTTCCTTTTCCATTCGTATTGCCTTTTCATTTAATATGGATATCTTCAAAATGATCAATGATTATCATTCTAAAGCATTCCTCTAATATACTATTACATTCTTCTTTGTTTCAAAAGTGATTCTTATGCATTTTTTTAATGTAATATTGAGTGATTCAATTGCAACTTCATTTCCAAAATCAAGTTTGAGTAATCTGAAACAAGTTATGGTCTCTTGATCTTGAATAGTACTGGAACTGTTCTTTCCTGACCTTGTGTGGTTGGTTAATGTAAAGGACTTTACAACATGAGCTTAATATCCTGTGTCACCTTCCAACTACCTCTTAATCCAAGAGAATCCATGTTATTATCATCCCCCCATACATTATTTCTATCATTCTTATCAATCCATAGCGTCATCCCAAACCCTATAATTTTTTATTCTAGTGGAATTCGATTCAAAGTTGTTATACTAAACAAGATAATGATAAACATAATTCAAACCAACATGAAAAAAAAAAAAAAAAAAAAAAAAAAAAAAACTAGCTAGAATCAACTAACCTTTGGTTCCTTCCCATTCAACATTTTCCCAATCTGGCGAGCCATCAAGGTTTTCCCAGTACCAGGAGGTCCAAAAAGCAGCATTCCTTTCACATGTTTTATTCCAAGTCTACATAATTACATAGCATCATGAGAAAGTAAAAGAAACCTCATATGTGTCAAACTTCATGTCAAACTGTATTACAATGTGTAAACCAAATAAAACCTCAAAACAGGAGCCTTACTTAGAGGTCACATGTGGAGGAAAAACTCTAGAAGCAAAAGCTCTTCGGAATATATCAGCAAACTCTTCACTCAAACCACCTATACCAAATGATTGAAGATTGAATTCTTTATGCCTAAAGATGTTGCTGCTAGCCGCTTCTCGCTGGTTGATAATCTGCAGTGACTCAGTTGGGAAATAGAATGTAAGCAACAATAAATCTGAACATAATAGATAACTTTAACATATACACTCAACACCTACAATAGAGCTGCTGTAGCATTATGCATACCAAGAAGTCGAGAAAGAAAGTAAACCTTTATTCCACTTGAATTTTGAGCTTCAAATATTATGTATGTGTCGTCAGTTATAACCCCTCTTTCAATACCACTAGATTTGTCTTGCTCTTCTACAGAAGCTTGATTAACAGTGAAGATAAATGCACTGCCTTGATATTCAAATGTCACTCTTTGCCCAACTGTCATAACCTGCAAACGCATGACCAGAACTTTGCATGTATCAGAAGAGATATTTGTAAGAATGACTGGAAATACACATTGCCAACCAACCATTAGAAAAAACAAAGAAACTATAACATAGATAGAATACCAAAGTCACTCAAAAAGGTAAGAAAGAAACTAACTCCTAAATCCTATCCACACCACACTTACAGACTTCAAATTACCTAATGATATATAACATCTTTAACACTTTCAAGTCAACTAAATAACCATTTGAATGCAAAAAGACAGCTCCTAGAAGCTGTACATGGATAAAAGTAAGGAAGTAAATGTGGCTACAACCTGGTTGGCAAATCTCTTGTGAATTTGCTGGGATAAACGTACAGCATCCACCTAAACAGTAATGCAATTGTATCAGTCGGATAGGCCAGATATAACACTGGATGAGGTAATACAATTATACAAATACTTGAAATTAAAACTAAACAATATTTGAGCAGGCTATCATGGTAAAATACACTATTAGCTGTTAACAAAGGAGATGTAGAGAGACAACAAATAAAATTTAAGAATTGGTGAGAGTCACTTCAAACTGGAAGCATACCTGCTCATCTTTTGCCCCTTTCTTTACGAACTCCAATTCAAGAGTTAGGAGTGCAAGATTAATATTCTCAGGAGGTATAAATCTAAAAAAATGAAAAAATTGTCAGGCAAAAGCTAGACTTTTTAAGTTGAATTATTAAATGATTCATTTCTCCACATGAATAAAACCTATACTACCTGGACATCGAGATTGAATCACCAGTGGAGACTCTAGCATAGCGACGTTGAATTGCATTAAGACCAATATGGCCACTAGGAACGGCGTCATTTCCAGTGTAAAACTGTTAAGGTTACAGATCCATAATCTAAAGAACATATTGCCTAATACCTTGAAAACTATAAGTAATAAAAGAAAAAAGATGCTAACTGGTTAGAAACTAAATTATTTTTACAAAAGAACGACGCTTTGATGTTATAAGAATCTGGTCACAAGTACCTTTCCCTAATGTTCATTGTTCATCTTTATGGGCAAGGGAAATTCAAACAAAATGTAATGCTAGTGTGTTTGGTTAGCAATTTTTTCAAAATTTCTACTATTCAATATTTACGACTCCCTAAAAACTCACACTATTTCCTCACTAACTATCATATCCAAACCATTATTCAAACAAAAAACCAAAACCAAAATCCAAAAAACAAAAAAAGAATAACCAAAAGAACATGGGTACTACTGTTATTTAAGTTCAAGCAAACGCATTCATAGCAACAACAGTAAACCTGCTATTGAACAAAAAGTACTTATATATAAATAAAAAACATTAACTATAAGATCAAGTAGAAATCCAAAGAACACAATTTCTTATCTGCAACATGGAACGAAATCTAAAAGCACTAAATTTAATCACCACACTTTCCAATTTACAAAAAACTACATCTATGCTACTAAAGTTGAATTCCAAAATATTTCCGTCAAGAAACATATAATCGTCATGACAAGAGCACCGTATCCCCAAAATCATTTCCCCGAAACGCAAGCAAAAACAAAAACACAGACATTAACATTAACATTGTGTAAGCAATCGCCATGGACAAAAAAAAAAGGATATGCAATAGACAAAACGAACGCATCCCCGATCAAAGCGTAGGCGAGCTTCGATCCAGGGACAAGAAAGTTGCGGAGATCGGAAGGAGAGCAGTAGGCGAAATTGGTGTAAGCTAGATCTTTAGCCGGAGTGTTGGTCACAATCATCGCCAGCGAACTCCCCGCCATGATTCTACTCCTCTAATCAGAGCAATGCATCAATCAAACATGTGAGTTGTAATGGGATTTCTAATTTCTAATCTGAGTAATCGATCGATAAAATTCTTCGCCTTCATGCCATAGATGATTCGCTTCCCCCGCAAGTTTGTAGAGAAAAGTCGTTGAGCGGAAAGCGCATTTAGGAAAACGACTTTTATAAATCGCACTTAGATATTGCACAGCGGAAAGCGCATTTACGAAAACCCGACTTTGATAAATCGCACTTAGACATTCACAACACGACTTTGATAAATCGCAATTAGACATTGCACAGTTTATAATTGGTATGCACCGATGGTCGCTTGGGAATGGTGTGTTTTAAGAAAAAAATAAAAATAAAAATTCTTCTTTATTAAAAAAATTAATATATTAAGGGTGGGTTTGTTTGGGGATTGGATTTTAAATCTACTATTAATCTTATTTTTTAAAAAAAATATCAAATCAAATACTTATTTTTTAATTTTCATATTATACTAAAAATTAATTTTACATTCAAAATATCACATTAATCCCTATTTATATCACATCTTAAATACCAAAATACGATTAAATTTTACAAAAAATATTTGTTTTATTTGTATTTTTAAAGATAAAATTATTAAAATAATCGTACACACTCCTACTAACTATTAAAATATTACTATCTCCGTCCCACATTGGGTGTCTGGGTCACTGTAGACACAAGGATTAATATAATTAGCAGATAATTAAAAATGTATTAGTAAAATAATTAACTTAATATAAATCATTATAGATTAAGATTAAGATAACTAATTAGTTTAATTAAAATTAAAAAAAAATAAAATTTAAAATAAAATTAAGATGGATAATCATTTGTAAAAAAGGAAAGTGACACAAGATGTGAGACGGACAGAAACGACGACATGATAAAAGGGACGGAGGGATTATTATTTTTAAGTTATTATTATTACAAATTTGTAAGACTGTGAAAGTATCTTTTTTTTTTTTTGATTTGAATTTGTTTTATGTGAAATATAAAAAATCGTGGCAGTAATAAAAAATAATATTTTATGTTGAAAATTGATTTTTGTTAGAGGATAAAATATATATTGATAAATGTATTAGAAAAAGAAGTGGTTGGTAAAATTGAATTGTTTTGGTAAACAAAATACTTATAATTTTATGAAATAAAAAGTGGGTTCTATGTTTCTTTACCTAAATTTTCTCAAACTTCACTATTTTGAATTTTACATTTAAAAAAAAAAAAAAACTTTTATAGTTTTTGTAAAAATCACATGACAATTTGTCTCTAAAAAATCTATAAAACTAATGATTAATTAATTATTTATTTATTTTATTAAAAAAAAATATTTTTTTAAACATGCATGTTCATATTTACAACCAAATATTAGTTTTGAATGAAAAGAGGTTTTGCACGAAAATATTTTTTTGTGTTAACTTTACATCAACACAATGTGGTTTCACGCAAGTGTGTTTGTTTGAGGGATTTTGTCCAAAATTCACTATTCATTCAAAATTTTCCATCCAAAATATCACATCAAACATCTATTTTTCATTTTTTATATTATTCTAAAAATTAATTTTAAATTCAAAACATCCCATCAACACCTGTTTAATTTATAGCACATCATACAACTATTACAATTCAAAATTGTAAATTATATAATACTCTTATGTGTTTTAGTAAAAATATACAAAACACCATGTGTTTTATTTATTGTCTAAAACCCCATTGTGTGTTAATTAAAGTTTGCACGAAACACCTTATTGTCCAAAACTGATATTTGGTTCTAAAGAACTAAATTAAGCAAATTTAATACAATTAAGAAACGTAAAATATTTTAAATAATTTTTTGAATAAAATAAATAAATAAATAATTTATTAATCCTTATTTTTATAGTTTTTGTGCAAATTAGGTCTAATAGACAAGTCACACTAGGCGAATTGACGTGTAATATGAGACATCGGGGCTGAATTACTGTGCAACTGGACTGGAGGAGTTTGACGGAAATCTTTTTTTTAGTTGTTTTTAAATTATAAATATAAAAAAATTATAATTTAATAAAATATATATAATATATGTCATTTTATATAGAATAAATTTTTTATAATACAAATAAATAAAAATTTAGAGATATATATAATATAAATTTATAATTAAACTATATAAATTAATACACATTTATATTATTTTATTCATAACAATCAAATCAATACATATCAAAACTCTCCAAACTTCAACCAAACCTAAACACAAAAAAAAAAGACATCAAAATTAAACTCATCTCAATATTCAAATAAAAACCAAACCCAAATCCAAATTTCCCAAAAGAGAATGAAATTGAGTATAATTTAATTAAAAAATATAAAGAAATTGCAGCTAGCTATACGAATGAGAATTGATGAAAAATATTTTTGGTATTTTTTTTTAAAAAAATTATAAATTATATACTATATTTTTTAAAATTATATTTTAATACAATTTTTTAAAAAATTATAAAAATTAAATACTTTAACAATAAATTAAATTTGATTTTTGTAAAATTAAAATAATAAAATTTTAAAAAAATTATAAAAATTAAATAATATAAAAAAATATTTTTTTTTTATAAAAAAAAAATATACTGCAATATCATTTATTTTTATTTTAAATAAAAAATAAAAAGAATAAAAAAATAAAAAAATAATTATTTCTCAAATTTTATTTGTCTAATTCAAATAAACAAAAAAAATAATGAAGTTATTTCCATTTTTACTTCAGAAAAACCTAAATCAGCCGCAAACCAAGCAGCCCCTAATAGGCTAATAATAGTAATAGTAAAGTGAAAGTCATAAGATTATCCGAAACCTAAACCGACGAGGAAGAAGCTACTAGAAGCAACCCCTTCTCCATCGCCATTCCACCTTAAACCTCTCCTCTCCACTACACTGTCTTCACATCTTCCCTCCTTACGCCCCTCAATTTTCTTCTGCTGCGTTTCAACCCAGTAGAACTCAATTGCAAGCTACACCTACACCAGGGACTGCTTGATCGGCAAGGATTTGCAATGGACGCATCAAAGGTGAATCAACTGAAGCAATTCATCGACCTCTGCCAATCGAATCCTTCGATTCTCTCCGATCCCTCGCTATCGTTCTTCCGGGATTACATTGAGAGGTATAAAATAAATCCCTAATTTTTGTGCCTCTACTGTTACCGTGTATTTGCTGCTTCGGCGTTTGTTGATGAATCGCCGAGTTTAGGTTTTTTACTCGTGGCTTGGCTTGGCATTTCTGTTTAATTTTTGTTTTTCGAATATTATTTCAGCCTTGGAGGAAAGATTCCATCACCTGGTGGGGATTATAAAGCGGTATGTGTTGGATTTCATTTGGATTCGATGGTGAATTTATCGTTGATCTTCGTTTTCATTTCCATACTGTCAGTAAGATGCTGCTCGAATTTTAGGGTTTGAATGTTGAGATTGAAAAAAGAATTCATAAATGTGACTCTCTCAAATGACTGTTCGAAAAGCTAAATCTTGATTCTTGAGTGATTTTCTGTTCTATGAGAAATACTGATGAAGTTTGCTAAATTGATGGACTGCAGAAATCTCATGTAGCATCTGACGATGAAATGGATGATGTTGAAGGGGGCACTAATCCACCTCACGAAGAAGAAGAAGAAGAAGAAGAAGAACCTGAAATAGTCGAGTCCGACATTGAACTTGATGAGAGTGATGTTGTGGAGCCTGATAATGAACCTCCCCAAAAGGTTTTTAAGGATGCAAAATTTTCAATAATACTTTTTTCTTTTTTTGGTATGGTAGAAAATTAAGTGTTTGAAAATGGTATTTTCAGATGGGGAACCCGTCGCTCGAGGTAAGTGAAGCAGATCGGGATGCTTCTCAGGAGGCGAAAATGCAGGCTATGGAGGCAATTTCTGATGGTACTGCCGCACATTCTTATTTATGTACATTCTTTAATCTGACTAAAGTAAAATCGATTTGTGTTTATCAGGTAAGCTTGACGAGGCAATTGAGCATCTCACTAAGGCTATTATGCTCAACCCAACATCTGCAATTATGTATGGAACCCGAGGTAACTGTTGCAGTGTTTCATTTTGTGTGTTTTTTGACATTTTTCATTATATTTGATCATGGATTTTATTTATTTTTTTTGTACTAGTGGAATTCTTACCTGGCTAACTTGTTTGTGTATTTGATTTGTTTCAGCTAGTGTGTATATCAAAATGAAAAAACCGAATGCTGCCATTCGTGATGCCACTGCAGCTTTGGAGGTTGCCTATTTTCCCTGCCATGTTTCTTATTGTGTCGTTATCTTGTATTTTTATGTTAAAAGTATGATTTTGTTGTTCTTGATATTGATCCCCCATGATTGGAATACCTCAGTTTCTCCAAAATAATGTTTTTCATAGTTTCAATTGGTCCACATGTGCTATCGGACAAAATAAATAAATAAAAAAGAGAGCCTTTCATGTTTCTTAGCTCATAGTCACCTGTTTCAGTAATCAGATTCTATTAAATGCTTCATTCCGAACCATGATGTATCACGGAGGTTTAATAACATAAATATAAATTATTTACAGATTAACCCTGATTCTGCCAAAGGGTATAAATCACGAGGCATAGCACGAGCAATGCTTGGGCAATGGGAAGAGGCAGCTAAGGATCTTCATGTGGCTTCAAAGCTAGACTTTGATGAGGAAATTAATGCTGTCCTTAAGAAGGTTAGTTTCTTACTCCTTTTTGTCGTGTTCGCACAATTTATACTTTTCCAATCAAATTTGGATATTAGCATGACAGTAACGGCTATTCCTATTTTGCTGACAACTGCACTATTTCAATAAATGTGCTTTAAACTTGGTAATAGGTTGAGCCGAATGCCCATAAAATTGAGGAGCATCGCAGGAAATATGACAGGCTGCGGAAAGAGAGAGCAGATAAGAAGTCTGAACGTGAGAGACAGCGTCGTCGAGCTGCAGCTCAGGCAAATCATTTCTTTAGTACAATGACATTGCTTTTATTATGACTTTTATATTGTCTTCCACAAAATCCAACTTTCCATTTTGCTTTTTAAAAGGCTGCATATGAGAAAGCTAAGAAAGAAGAGCAGTCATCGTCGAGTGCAAGACCAGGAGGCATGCCTGGTGGATTCCCTGGTGGGATGCCTGGAGGATTTCCAGGTATGCCTGGAGGCTTTCCTGGAGGTATGCCTGGTGGTATGCCTGGAGGAATGCCCGGAGGCTTTCCTGGAGGTATGCCTGGTGGTATGCCTGGAGGAATGCCTGGTGGCATGCCCGGAGGCTTTCCTGGGGCCATGCCTGGTGGTATGCCGGGAAATGTTGACTATAGCAAAATCTTGAATGTAAGTATTCATTGCATCTATATATATATATATTTATGTATATTATCCTGATAAAGTAAAGACTAGTTCTATATGATTATTTGTTTTTGACTTTTGATGAATTTTAATGGTGACATGCCTTTCATGATGACTTCTACACGGTTCTCTGATGGTGTAGTAAACAAGAGAGTGCCTTTGAATGATTTATCATGTTATTTCTATGGGAGCTGTCGTACTTAATTTAAATATTCCCAAATCATACAATTGGTCCCTGTATTTGATTCTTTCAGGATCCCGAATTAATGGCAGCATTTAAAGATCCTGAAGTGATGGCTGCACTCCAAGATGGTACGTCTACGCTTGTATTTCTATGTTGACCCAAAAAAGCAAGATCGTGTTTATTTGCTTACTTTTTCGGGTTACTTCTTTTTATGTCTTTCTGCTTTTGCTCTTCAATGCATTCACTACAATATGGCATGAGTCATGACAATGCGAGTTTTAATTATGAGCCTCTTCGTAATGCATTTCATATGTATACTATTTGTCATTGGAGGATAATAGCATGCAACAGCGGGGAGTTCGTAAATGATAAGTGAGTGAAAACTTGGACATCAAATGTTCTATATCATGTGTCCCCTTTGTTATATTTGCCCATTTCAAAATTTTATTCCGTCCATTTTCCGCATTTGGTACCTATATACATTTGAACATACGAACCAACATGGATTGATCAATGCTTGGCAGTTTGAGAGTTCCTTTGTTATAGCAAATAGATCCTTAGATTTTAAGTTCAATTTTGCAACCGATAATGCAATTTAAGCTCATGGGATGTGATGCATATTCTTAATGGCCTGAGTTTGAAACAGTGATACAATTGCTCCTTCAATTTGTAGGTGTTATTGCTGATGTGACATCATTTCACCTATTTTTGTATTTATATATGATTTGTTGGTGTTCTGGAGAGTTTTGAGAATAGTAAAAAGTTAATAAAAATATAGAAATATGAAAGTGATATAAATAGATGTTGGATTTGATGTTGTGTAACTTAAATTTTTTATGTAATATAATAAATAAAAAAATAGGTATTTGACGACCAAGATTTTTGAAAAAGATATCATTTTTGAATAGTGTCAAAAGTGATTTGAAAATATACGTAAACAGTGCATGGTGACTCATACATCAGTATCTAACTAAAACCATTTAAAATGTTTCTAAAGCTATTGATTTATGCTACCCGCACATATTTTTTTGGATTGTCCCTGCAAAAATGTTTATGTTATAATTTCCTTGGTATAATTACTTAATATATTATATTATTTAATTAATGAGAATATAATTCTATATGAACACAGGGGTTGTTTTCAGGTTATAGATGTATGTGGACGTGAGTACATAGATACTTTTCGAGCTCCCTGTGCTTGAGATCGCCATTCATTATTTAATTTTTCTATTCGACTCGTTGCTTTATGAACTTTATTTAAAGTCGACAGTGTTTTATTTCTAGACATTGTGCATTATCAAGACTACACTTTCTCTATCTCTGATTTTATTCTTTATTTTGCAGTAATGAAAAATCCTGCTAACCTAGCCAAGCATCAAGCAAACCCAAAGGTCGCTCCAATTATTGGGAAAATGATGAACAAATTTTCTGGTCCGCAGTGAAAAAAGAGAAAAATTCCGGCTGGTTTGTCTCATTTTCCTCTTTGTATTTATGTCTGGTGTCTTTGTGATTTGGTGCGCTGCGTGTGTGCAGAGAACCTCAGTTGCCTCTGTGTGCTTGTTTTGTGCAGCTGTGATCTGGGACGGGTATTTTGCCGATTGTCTTGACTTCTTAAACTAATTTGCTGATCTACATTAAATTTTAATAAAATGATGCGATGCTTAACTTAGGTTTTGAGATGTTCTTCTTTGGTATAACTTAGGGCATGTAGTGTTTAAGGAGTATGCAAGAATTTGAACTGAAAACATTGAAAGTTTTTGGAAAATAATATCAACTGCACATACATGTAACAATAGTTTCTGGTCTAGTAGCGTGAGGGGTGAATTTGCCTAATGTCACCTGTCTTGGCGGATTTAGTTTGCAAGACTATTATGGTTGGCCGGGAGTTTACTTAGAACACACCAGAAATATTAGGCCGTCGGTTTTCATGTTATAAAGAAAATAAGAAAAAAATAATGTTTTTAGTGGAATGGCGTGAGGAATGAATTTGTGACGGCAAGGTGTTTAAAGTCTCTGAAAGGGTTTGTCTAGGTAATTTATTTTGCTGGTTTAGTTTGTTGTCGGGTTTTTACTCAGACCGTATTCAAGAATAGATATTGTAAAATAGTTTGAAAAATATTTTATTATGTTAAGTATAGAGTTTTATGTATATAATATGAAAACAATAAAGGTGTATAGAGATTTATGTATATAATATAAAAATAATAAAGGTGTATAATATATTACTCCCTCTATTTTGTAACAAATTATTCATTTTTCTATTTTAATCTGTTTTATAATTGTACTGTCTACCTAATATTACAAATATCTTTACAACTTACAATATATTACATAAAATTAATATTTCTAAAATTTTGTGCAAAAAATAAACGGATACGTAGTTATGGAACTTACCGAATAAAAAAAGTTAAAAAGAACACAAGTTAAAAGAACACGCTAAGACTTTTGACTTATTTTGTTGGTTTAATTTACAATTAGGAATTTATCCGAATTAATAGTGGTTGCAGATTTATATATATTTTGATTTTATTTCTTTGTATATATATATTAATTAAAAATTGTACATATTGAATAGTATATTTTGGTTTGAAATCAAAATAAAACATTTTAGGCCATTAAAGAAAGAAGAATAGTTAAATAGTTTAAACATCTATATATTTTGATGAGAAAATCTCTGAAGAATGGCAACAGTACACTTTCATTACAAATTTTTGCATTTGAAAATACTCAATTTTATTTTTCAATATTTAAAATATTTTTTATATTATATCAATAAATATTTGCGTATTCAAAATTTTGAATTAAGATCGAACTGTAGAAAGAATCAAAAGTTGAGAATAATTCTTTTTTTCTTCCTCTTGACCAAATCTGTAATCTTCATTAGGTTCTAATCCTCTGAGCTACATGCGTTTATTTTAAAAAAGGGCATTTTCCCTTAGGCCATCCAAATAAGAAGAGCCTTTCGAATAAAAAGCTTTAGTCACATCTGACATTGTTCAAAACTTAATTCAATTTTTCATAGTTTTGCTAGTAGTGTTCCATAAAAAATTAAGAAAAAGTTTAGAACAATCTTATATACATGTGATATATATATATATGTAAACTATTATTACGTATGGTTTATATTTTGTATTTATGTTATATTAGTACAAATTTTGTATTGTTTACTTTTTTTTTTTTTTTATGTATTATCTGTCAATATTTAAAGTGTTGTCTGCATCATACTCTACCGTAAAAAAAAAAAAAATGATATTATCATTGCCGTGGATAACATAAAAAAAAAATGATATTATCATTGCCGTGGATAACATGTAATTAATTTCAAAGAATTATACGGCTCTTAACAATCCTTTTCATAAATTAGATAAAATAAAATGAAAAATTCCTAATCGAGCTAACTAATTAAATTAAACCATTGAATTATATCACAAATTTCAAGTCGAAGAAATGTCTACATCTCATGTACACTAAATTATTACAATGGCTACATTATTCTTCGATGGATTCACATTAATATAATGTGTTTTTATGTCTTTTAATTAGGCTATGTCCTCTACCTTTGAAATTTATTTCATTTAATTGGCTGTATTTGTTTGTGATTTTTTTTCCAAAGATTTTACATTTTTTTTCTATTAAACTAAATATATAAATTTTTAATTTTTATATTATATTAAAATAATTTTACAAATAAAACATCACTTCAATCTATATTTATATTCTATTAAACAACTAATCAAATTTTAAAATTCAAAATTTCAAATAAACACATGCCATTTGTTTATTGTAGATTTTCATGATGATTTTATTATTTCAAATACCTATTTTTAATTTATTATATTACACTTAAATTTATTTTTTCATTCAAAATATTATATCAATATATATTTATATCACATCAAATAACATTTTAATTCAAAATTTTACTATTCAAAACTAAAATTTAAAATCAAAGTCACACAAATAAACACACAGGGATGAAAAATATCTTTTTAAGATTAAAAAAAAAATGATACAGGTATAAAATGAAAATAGTGTCGTATGTATTAGTAACTCCAAAAACTTCGTCAAAAATAGAAAAATTTAACCGGTGAGTGTCCGGGTCGAAATCATGGAATATGCGAATATCCTATATTTAATTAGAAAAAAAGTGCAATAGGTTAATGCAATCGAAGAAACTGAAAAGATAAATTGCAGAAATTAAATTTAACTAAAAAACGATAAAATATACGTATCTTAAAAAGGATGAAGCGAGACGTTTGTGTCTGACTTTTGCGTTCCTTAATAACTAGATTTTCATGGATAAAATGAGTGGGATGACGATGGCGTGATAAAGAAAAATATATGTATAATTGCGGGGCGGCTCGGAGGAATGAGCGTGATCGCATTTGCTCGCTTAAGTCGATTCTCGAATTAGTTGGAACCTTAGGGGATTTACAACGAGGCTTTAGCGACGCCCAACGGAGAACATTATAAGCAAAAAACTCCACTGTCACTAGAAATTACAGTGACCCAATAGACCACCGGCTATGCCCCATGAATTATTTTTTCAACCGTTTTGCTAGTGGCTCTATCCCTCTGAAACCTCTCTTTAATCGGAATCGAATTCAGAACAGCAACGAAACAGGTCAACAAGGCTCCCGCGTACTTAGCTATGTTGAACTACCCGAAATCTATATATGACGCGAAATAGGGCTGAAATAGTCGATTCTTCTATCGCCCTTCCGCAATCTTGTCGAAATCTAACTTGAACAATTCAAATTGGACATGAAATTTTTGGGTGAAGGTGAGGCGGAGAAGTGTGATAGGAATTTTACTTTACCGGCTAAAATAATATGCTAGAATTGAAAAAAAAAAAAAAAGAGAAAATCAGTTTACTCGCGACACAAAACTGAAAATCTTGTATTATTAAACTAGATAAAAATATGAGAGAAAAAAAAAAAAAAAAAAAAAAAAGAAAAATGGAGTGTATGGTTATGTATATGTATATGTGTGTTTATATGAGTGTATATTATACAATTAGAGGAGATATTTATAGGGGAAAAAAACTTCTAGAAGATCCGCGATTACAACCGTCTATAAATAACTAGCTCTAAAACTAGCTACTAATTACCACTAAAAATAACTACTACCTACCTATTTTTTAAAAAGATCTAGAATAAAAAAATACACAAAATAGCAAAAAAAAATTGGCTAAAAATTAGTGTAGAAATTTAATTAAGGAAGGTGGGAGAGTGCCCGAGCAATAAATGGTGCAGTAATTGTTGCACAGATGCAGCCGCCACTTATGGATTCCGTGCAGTCGACACTCGCTTTCCGCGCCAGCCGTCGCTCAAATTCTGCACAGCCGCCACTCAAATTCTGCGCCAGCCGCCATTGCTTTTCGCGCTCGCGCACTCACTTTCCGCTGGCCGCCGCTCGCTTTCCACGCCAGCCGTCACTTCGTTCACTTCCATGTATGGTCTTCCGCGCTCATAAACTAAATTTTACTATATTTGTTTGCTTTTTGCACAGAGTTTAAGGTATATTAGTAGTATATTGATATACACTAAAAATAAAGCATAAATGACTAAAATAATTTTATTAGTATTATGTGATATAAAAGTAATGACATTTGTGTAATATATTATAAGTTGTAAAAGTATTTGTAATGTTAGTAGATACTATAGTTACTAAAAATAGATATCTTATTATAGGATAGACAAAAATAGAAAAAAAATAGTTTGTTAAGGGACATTGAAAAAAAAAATAGAAAAAAAATACCATATCGAAATATATTTAAACAAAAACTCAAATCAACACTTGATTTCAAACCACAACCAAATTTTTTTTTTCAATTTTCAATTTTATAAGTAATAAACAATTTTTTGATGTATAATCTGAATAAAAACTAGTTACCTAATTTGGTTTTCTAGATGAAAAAAAGGGTTTTTAGTATGTAATCCTCTTGTAATAGGATGATAGTGTATGTTTAAACTTGTAATAGAATACAAGGTTTGTTGGCTATGGTTTGATTGTAGCTAGTTTGAAACTTATTTGAAATAAAAACGTTAGATCTGACTTTTTATTTAAATAATAATATTTTAATATAATATTTTTTTAAAAAATAATATATTTTTATTGAAAACTTTATGGTTAAATAATAATTTTTTTTATTTGAAATAAAAAAGAAACAAATTTGTATTTTGTTTTTATTTTTAAGTTTAAAAAAATAGTAAATATTAGATGCAATATTTTTAAACCAAGTTAAAACAATTGAACAGAAAATTAAAATAATTATACAATATTTAAACAAAATTTAAAATATTGAACAAAAAATAAAAGTAATTATATATATTAGCTGTAATATTTTAAGAATAGAAAGATTGAATAGTGAAATAAAAACATATATAGAAAACATGACTTGTGTTTTCTTTGCATCCGAGTTTGAGTTAATTTAAATGATATTTTGAAGTAATATTTTAAGAAAAAAAATATTACTCTTTTATTTTCACCTAGCGTGTTCGAGTCACAATAAATACGAAAATTTAAAATAAATATAATTAATAAATAATTAAAAATATATTAGTAAAAATAATTATCATATACTATCAATAATTATAGATTATGATTAAAATAATAAATTAATTTAATTAAAATTAAAAATAAAATAAAAAATAAAATTAAGATGTATAATTATTTTTCAAAAAATAAAATTGTAATGAGATGTAAGACGGACAAAAATGAAAATATGAACACGATAGGTGAGACGGATGAAATATTTTATTGTCAACTGTAAAAATTGCAAAGTAAAAAAAACTGAGATCTATTGCAAAGCAAATAAACTAAAGGAATTTTTTTAAATGAAAAATATAAAAAATCGTGTATATAATATAAAAATAATGAATGTATACAATATATTATTTTTTAAAAACCATATGTGGAGTATTTTTACAAAAAGAATACACCACAAATATCGATGCTCCTTCTCTTTGAATTATTTTTTCAATTTTTTTATTATACAATCCTTGCAATGTTCTATAGAAGTACATAATTTTTATAAAATATTACATTAATTCAATCAAGATTTAAACCTAATTTTTAATAAAAATATCCTCCCCAAGCCCAAATTCAAGGAGTTTTTGAAGTTTTATAGTAAATTAAATTAAAAAAAATAATAATATTTTATATGTAAAGTAATTGTATGTATAATGATATATTTATAATTTAAGTAAACATTAAAAGTATTTCGATATAGTGTATAATTATTATTATTATATTTTTAGATAAGAAAAAAATATTTTGGAGTGGGATACAAAAATAGTAAAAGTTATACTTCCTCCGTCCACCGCCAATCTATCTATTTTGTCATTTTAGTCTGTCCATCGCAAATATATCAATTTCTTTTTTTAGTAAATGTATCTTCTACTAAAATATAAAATTACCCCACTTTTTCTATAATATTACACAAATGTTATCAAATAACACCACTTAATATCATAAATGTTAAGGGGTATAATAGTTTTCATGTATATCAATTGTACCACATATCAATATAATACTAATATACTTAAATCTCCGTGCAAAAAGTAAACGGATAGATAGGCGGTGGACGGAGGGAGTACTTTAAATTGGAACGGATAGAGTATTATTTTATTATATATTATAGAGTTGGAAAGGAAAACATAACCAAATTTTCTTCCATTCTAAGAAACTCTTGATTACTTGAAACAAATTTCAACACACAATTATGCAATTCAAATAGCTCAATGACAAGCTTCTTTTTGTGTGCATTTTTATTAAGCATAAGTTGGTCTCAAGTCTCCATCCATAACCATATTTCTATCTTTAAGTAAAAATATGTTACCAAAGAAATTAAATTTACTATTGCTTTATTTAATATTTACATTCACATATATATATATATAAGAAATACATCAACATGAACAAATACATACATATATTTAATCTTTACATTCACATATGTATATATAATTTGTATATATATATTGCCCATTTTTTGCCTTATGAAGCTTCACAAATAAGAGTAACTCTTCGAGACCGTCGCATCGCGAAAAATACATAAAACTTCGAATAATAATTCTACGTACAAATTCGAGTTGCTCGGGGCATGCTACTTCGTACCATGTCGCGAAACTAATCATTTCTATGTACATATATAATGTATATATATGTCTTTTCTTCATTAGGGTTTTTATTCGATCTTTTTTTTTTTCCCCGTTTTTTTTTTCATTCGATTTCTCGGGAACTCATAAGTTGTTTTCCATGTTCAAGGGTGTTAAGACACTCGTTTCGACCTTTGAGGAGCTTTCGAAGCCAAAATCATGAATCGACAAGTCTTGATAATCGAGCAACCACGCACAATTCTCATCCCAAAAGGCGTCGAAATCGGTGAAATTTGTGGTTGGAAATTCCCATGGCACCTGGATTTGATTATCCTGGGCATCGTCGTGGAAAAGGCAGCTTATCAAAGGGTCATTTTCGTAGAGATTATTGCCCGCGAGTTCTTCGGAGGAGCTATTTTGATCGGCTAGGGCACGAGAATTTTCCTCTTGGTTGGCATTGTTAGTATTAGGGTTTTGTGTTTCTCCCGGCCCGGATTTAATCGATTCGGGGAAGTTTTCGGATGTGTGAGACTTTGCATTTTCGGGTTCTTCCTTGTGAAGGGGTTTGTGGGTGATTGGATCGATCCCCATTTTTATGAGCTTCTTTTTTATGTGAGTGTTCCAGTGATTCTTGATCTCGTTGTCTGTTCTTCCCGGCAATCTTGCAGCGATTTTAGACCACCTATATATATACACACACATTACATATATATATATATTTAAGAAAACAATAATGTTATTAAAAATAAATGGTGATTATCATGTGTAACTTTAAAAAAGACAAAAACATGAAATATATAATTAGATCAATAATTGAGTTGTTGATTCAATTAGAATATTGGAATCAAACATTATTGAAAAATAATTCTTAAATGCCATGAAGAATGAGCTATAGGGTTGACTGAGTGATATGAATTATTGAGCACAGAAGCTTCAATTAAAAGATGAACTCTTTAATGGATATTATATTAGTGGTGAAGAAGAAGAAGAAATTGATTTTCAATGAATTTTAATTATTTCGAATTTGAAATACTTTGTATTAATTTAAACTCCCTATTTAGTTAATTATATGAAATATTTGAAAAAAATATATATATATACATATTGAAAGAGTAATTAAAATTTTAATGTGAATAGATTTGAAATTTATTACTAACTTCGAAAACTTGAAACATTTTTAGTTTATTTGGGTGTGGTTTAAAATTAATTTGAAATTGATAATTGTTTAAATAATATTTTAATGCAATTTTTTTGTGAAAAAATAATATTCCGTATTTTTATTGAAAATTGTATCAAATTACTAGTATTGATTTTGATTTGAAATATTAAAGTTGTGTACACAATCGAAACTAATAAATTTAATCGAGTTATTTACAATGCCTACTATTCAAATTCTTCCAATCAATTGGGATATATAAGATATATATATATATATATATATGAAATGAAATGAAATGATCATGGTATTCCAAAATAGATTGTGATCTAAAATGTGAAAAGCAATATATAGTTTAGTTATTCTTCTTCCATTTTGAATTGAAATTATTTTATTCTCAATAATAGCAAACTTAAATAATTTTGTGTAGAAAAATTATTCATTAAAGATGTTTCTGTTGCAATTTTTTTCTTTTTGCTTTGTGTTTGAATTTGATCTTCTTCTTCTTCTTCTTTAATTTGTGTTTTGATTCAAAGAATATTTTAATGTGATTTTTTTTTATGAGAAATGATTATATATTTTTATTTAAAATATTAAATAATCATAATAAAAAATAGTTTCAAATTCAAACAAGCAAACCCATTGCATATAGCTAAATAATTTGATAGTTCTATAATTTGTATCTTCAAAACTTCATAAAATTATATATATATAAACCCTAATTGTGATAGAAAACCCCAACCTACCTACTCTACACATTAAATAAAAATACAAAATACAAAATACAAAAAATCTTGCTAATTGTGATACCTTATGATACTCCCTCCTTACAATAGTTTTGCTATATTTAATTTTGAGTGATATCATTTTAATAATTTTTGTATTTTATAAATTGTATTTATATAGAAGGGGAGAAAAGAAAAAATGTGTAAATAAAAGAAATGATTTTTTTAAAGATATATAAAATTCAATAATAGCAAAAGATTTAAAATTTGAGTATTGTAAATCATTGTTATTACTATTATTATTTAATATACATATTTTAGTTTCATATATATTGATATGATATTGTTTAGTTTCATATATATTGATATGATATTGTTGGAACTAATATAAACTTATAACTACATATCAAATTTTAACGTCTTTTTAGCGACTATTGATTAAATATAAAATTATCTTTATATAAACTTTACTTAGATAATCAAAATAATAAGAAATTCTAGCGATGACACTAAAAGTGATTTTTTTTTTCTAATGAGAAACAACTATATTAATTATGGATTTTAAATAATATAAAAAGAATATTACAATATATATAATTATTGTTGTAAAATTCAAAATGCCATCATTTGGAAAAATAAAAGTATCTCGATATTATTAAATAGATAGTATCATTATGAAATTTTAAAAAATAGTTTTCCTTTAATTAATAAAATTATGATTCCATCACAACATGTAAATATATACACGGGCGGATCTACGTGGGGCTAGGGAAGTTGACCCCAACCCCCAAAATATATCTATTTTTTTAGTGCAAAAAAAAATAAAATTATATATATATATTTTTAGTAATTTGTTCCTTCTATTTATTTTTTTAATTTTATAATTTAAAATTCATAAAAACATTTAAATTTTCCTCCTTTTTTTTGACCAGATGTACTATGAATTAAAAAAAAAAGAAAAAAATTTTATCGATATTTTTATCCCCCTTCGAACTTTTACTGTTGGTTCCGTCACTGAATATATATATATATATACATACTTGTTGCCGAGACGCTCGTGGAGATCGATGACGAGCTGCTCCTCGGCTAGGGTTAGAAGGCCGCGCTTCAAGTCGGGTCGAAGATAGTTGGTCCACCGGAGGCGGCAACTTTTGCCGCAGCGGCGGAGGCCAGCGAGCTTCGGGACGGCTCGCCAGCAACACTGACCATTGGTGAGGATAAAGTTGATGAGCTTCTTGTCTTCCTCACTTGTCCATGGCCCCTTCTTCACTCCCAATTTGTCACAACAAGGCTGCCTCCCCATTGATCTGATCTAAGCTAATCTCTCTCTCTCCTCTCTCTCTCTAGATATATATATATGTATGTATATGTGTGTTTGTATAGGGGTATATATGGAGGATAGGATGAAGGTAGAAGTAGCTCAAAAGTCCTCTTTCCCTTTCTATATAAACTAGCAAAACCATGTTTGAAGTTAACACTGTTTTTTTTATTTATGCTACAATTATGTCGGGATACGAAAATTAAAAAATAATGTTACTTCCGTTTACTTATATGATTTTGATTTTGAATTTTGGTTTTTTAAATAGTAAAACTTTGAATTGAAATAGTTGTTTAACATGATATAAATATGTATTGATGTGATATTTTGAATGTAAAATTAAATTATAGTATAATAAAATAAATAAAAGATGAATGTTGATTTGATATTTTTAGGGAAAAAAAAAAAGGTTAAGAATATTATAATCAAAAACTAAATTTCACAAGTAAACACACCCTATAATTGTTTTTTTGCGTTGATATTTGAATATTAAATATTATACCAAAATATAGTACAAATTAAGAGAAAATGATAATAATATCTCTATAATCTCTTATAATAGAAATGCAATAATATTTTTGAAGTAAATTATATAAATATAAGCACTTTTTAAATGTTAAATACAATTATACCAAAAATAATTATATACTTTTTAGCTGGAGAAAATAATATTTTAATATAAAAAATAAGATAAGTAAAAAGTAAAATATGAGTATTATAGAAAATTTATTTAATAATAAAGTAATGCGGTAGGTAAAAATATAGTGAAAAATTAGGTTTTTTTGTTAAAGTAAAAATAATAAAATTATGAATAGATAAATTTATTTATTATAAATAAATTATGTATAAGTTTAGCAGACAATCAAAAAATGAAAGGTGACATAATTGTACAGAAGGCGAAGAAGTATATATTTTCTCCGTCTATTTAATTTACATGGATTTGCTTTTTACATAAAAATTAAAAAAGTAATATCTAAATAGTAATTGACCGTATTTTTTGTGCGCAAACTTCTTTCACTTTTTTAAGTTTTAATTTGATGTAATATATATGCATAGTCCAAACTTACTAAAAGATATTTTTGGAAAATTTTAACATTATTAATTAATAATAATTTTAAAGAATAAATCAAATAGATTTTTTTTTTAAAATATCACATTAAAATATCCAACTTTATTATTTTTACAAAATTTTAAAATTCTAAAATTAAAAAAAAATTCCATATAAACGGGTCTATTATACTTATTCTAAATATTCCTAATCACATAGAGAACAACAAAAATAGGTTTGTTCAGTTTATTTTTATTGAGAGCATACATATTGAATAATGCTACTCCCTCTGTCCCTCGTTGGATGTCTGGGTCACTCACTATACGAGAATTTATGATAAGTATAATTAGTATATAATTAATAATATATTAGTGAAAATAATTATTTTATAATATAAATAATTATAGATTAAGATTAAGATAACTAATTAGTTTAATTAAAATAAAAAAAAATAGAAAATTTAAAATGAGATTAAAGTGTATAATCATTTTTCAGAAAAGGAAAATGACATAGAATGTGGGACGGACAGAAACGACAATGTGGACATGGTAGATGGGACGAAGGGAGTATTTTTTATTTAAAATAATAATAATTAAAAAAAAACACTCTTTAGATTATAATAGTCTATATCTGATGAAATATTTGTGTCGAAGAAAGCTTTTAGGTGTTTTTAATAAAATAAATGAATATTTCATTAATATTATAGGTTTGTATCTATTAAATTAAAGACACGTCGATTATTTATAAACATCTTAGGGTGTTTATGTTTGTGAAATTTTAGTTTGATTTATTTGATATGAAATAAATATATATTGATGTAATATTTTAAATATACAATTAAATTCTAATATAATACAACAACTAAATATTACTAGGGGTGTGTTTGTTTGGGAGTTTGGATTTTGGATTGGGATTTGAATAGTAAAAATTTTGAATATGAATAGTTGTATGATGTGATATAAATAGGGTTTGATGTGATGTTTTGAATGTAAAATTGATTTTTAGTATAATATAAAAAATGAAAAATAGGTGTTTGATTTGATGTTTTTGGGGGGAAAAAATTGGATGAATAGTGGAAATCCTCCAAAATCCTTCAAACAAACACACCCTAGGTGTATTATTTGATGTTTTTTAGAATTTTTTTTTTTTAAAAAAAAGTAAAAACCTTCCAAATCCACACAATAATCCACCCTATTCATCGTTAAATAACAAAATCTGTCCATTGTCGCTAAGAAATACTCCCTCCGTCCTTTATCTATCTATTTGCTTACTTTTTGTATAAAGTTTTAGAAATATTAATATTATATTGAAGTATGGTATGAATAAAGTAGAAAATATTAAAATAATCTTATTAGTATTGTGTAATATAAAGGTAATCACATTTGTGTAATATACTGTAAGTTGTAAACGTATTTTTAATGTTAGTAGAAAGTATAATTACTAAAAAAAAAATAGATACCTTATTATGGGACCGACTAAAATAGAAAAATAGATAGATTGTTAAGAGATAGATGGAGTATATAATAGTATTGCTAATTAATGTTACATTCATCTTATTAAACCAACATCATTTGTATTTTTCAACATTAAAACTATTCTTATATTTGTATAATTTATTCCACAAATATCATTATATTTTGTATTATAAGATACTAATAAAAATATTTTTTTCATTTTCTCTTGATTTGTACTATGTATTGATATAATAACTAATATTAAAATATTAATACGCAAAAAATTCATAATACTATTTTTATAAAACGAATGTAGTAGTATTAACTATTGTTATTGTACTTACTATAGTGCTAATAACACATAATATATACTAACAAATCGATGGTACAAAGTTTATGCTAATATAATAAAAATAAAATATATAAACTGACAGTTCGTAACAATAATTTATACATGATATATTGCAATTGATCTTATATCCTAAAATATATTAACACATTACATATACTATCTATGCACGGCTGTATAGGTCTCATTTACTTTTTACGTGTTGTCATTTGAATATTAATTCTTATATCAAAACATAGTACAAATTAAGAAAAAATTGCAAAAATATTTTCATTAATGTCTTACAATAATAATAGGACATTTGTACAAAAAAATTATACAAATATATGAATATTATTAATGTTAAGTACAATAACGCAAAAGGTAAACGTGACCCTTAGAGGCGGATGAATGTAGTATAAAACAAAACAGATGGAGTTGAAGGGTTTTATTGAGGTATCATTTTGAGTAAAATCAATTGACGACGAAAATATGTATTTGAATGTATTTAATTATCAACATGAAAATATTGATATGATACAGATTGATCAAATCAGATCCGACAAATGATCTATATAATTAACAATACAATCAACATAACAATGGAGACGACGGTTCTGGGGGCTTAAGACCCCCCAACCCCTATGTGGCCGAGCCATTTAACCCATGTTAATACTTTATACTATAGTGTATAATTTTAGTATTTAGTATATGTTACTCATTTCATCTCAATTTAAAGTTTTTTTTTTATCATTTTCATATGTTCACTTAAAAGTATCATTGTTCTATTTTAGTAAAAGTAATTACATTCTAATATCAAAATGTTTTTATTTTTACTTAAATTAAAAATATATTTACACGTATAATTACTTTATACATAAAGTTAAAGAGTAAAATTGTCTAAATCTCTCTTACACACTTTCACTAACAAATAAAATATTATTATTTGCAGGGTTGGATTTGTGACTGTGAAGTCATGGGTTCAAAGCCCCCAACGCCTCAGGTCACCTGTCACACATGGTTCGCCTAGTGTGACTTTTCCGCCGAGTCTGGTTTGCAGAGTATTAGGTTCGGCCGGGGATTTACTCCGTGCGCACTTTCGGGTAGCTGCTACGGATTCCGATGTCATAAAAATAAATAAATAAATAAATAAAATATTATTTCTTAATTTAATACAAAACTCTCTTCAGTTTAATATCCTTTAATTATTATAAATACACGACTAAATTTGTACATTTTTGTGGATATATATATATATATTTATGTATGTATGTATGTATGTATGTATATAATGGCCCACCATTGGTTTAGTGAAAGGGGCAGCTGAACTACAAGTTTGTTCTGGTGGCTTATGATTAAGCTAAGTTAAATTTAACTGAACCATTCGAATCTCTCTCCACAATAAAATAAAATAAAATAAAATAAAATAATAAAAATTAAAATAAAATAAATTTGTGTGTATATGTAGAAAATTTAAAATAAAATTAAAATATTTGGTTAAGGTTTCTTCCCTGTTTGGTTACTCAACAACTCCATCACTTATTTCGTCACTCCCACGTTTTATTCTTCATGGCAAATATATATATATATATATATTAATATAAGTATATTTCCAAGTGACATTTCGACTAAATATTGTTGCATTTATTTATTTTGTGATACTTCGGATTTGGACAGAATTTATAATTAGCTTAAAATATTTTTTTAGTCTCATAATTGAACCCTTGTTATTTTAGTCCCGTAAATGGAGTCTATCGCAAACTAATTTCGTAAGTGAAAAATTTTAGTTGTTTTAGTCCTCCGGCGCCGGAGACGCCCGCGTGACTTGACCTGTCACGCGGTCAATCAAATATTTCACCTACTCCGTGATCACAATTTAATGTAATATAGGGGAAGGGATCGTCTCTACAGGGATCGTGTGATTCACTCTTTCGTGTTCTAATGCAGTTGTTACGCACAAAAAATAATAATAATAATAATAATAATAATAATAAGGTATCCAGAGTCAGTCGGTGGGTTCTCAGTCGGTTGGTTCTCAATCAGATAAGCAAGTCAGATGGTCCGCGGTCGGGCAAGCAGGTCGGATTATCCGCAGTCGGATAAATGGGTCGGTTGATACAAAGGTTGGCTGCTATGGGGGTCGGTCGAAAAAGGAAGTCGGGCGAAGAAAGGTCTGTTGATAGGTCAGACGATTGAAGAGACCAAATAGTGGTCGTTTGATGGGGCGACCAGTGAGTCTTTTGATCTGG